TGTTTTTCATTTTATACTCCAGAAATGCCAGTTTTTTTACAACTACATTTGTAAAATGAGTGTGACACCCCTGCCTTAGACAGACTTTTGTCAGTTGAGATACTTCCTCAGTGTCTGAGTCAGAGCATATGGACTGGATGGGCAACTTGACAGGGAGGCATTTGTCTCACCTCTTACCTCCTATTTATTTTATTTCTTTTTAAATGAGGAAGTTTTTTTAATACTCTACTGTATACTATATATAGTTGTGAAATATAGTTGTGAAAATATTTCAATAGAATTTAGCTCAGTAGGCACCTTTTTGGATGGGACTGGACCCCCAAAGGCTCCATAAAGGCAACAGTGTACTCATCCAGCTGAACGAGGAAGTACACTGGATGAACAACTGCTGACCAAGCATTGCTATGTGACATTTGGCCCATCTGTTCCAGTCCAAGGACATATCTGCTGAGTCATCATTGAATCATTCAGTCTTTTGTGCAATCAACCAATCACCTCCCACTACCCCCCCCCTAGATGAGTCACCGATGCACTCCAAGAGATCCAAGGGTCAGCCAGATCTTCAGACTGCCTGTTTTCACATGAAAACAAGACACGTGTTATAATCATAACTAACCCAAAAGCAAAACCCAGTAATTTACTTGGAATCAACAAAAAAATAAAAGTCCTAACACTTTTTTCAGTCCTTTATAAGCATACAAAGAACAGGGGAAGGATTACTATAATTGCTAATGAAATAAGAAAATTCTGTGTTTAACCAGGTTCTTGTCTTTGGTTTCTTGCTGTATGCAAATGGAGACAGAAAGTGAGTGAGACAACTTGCAGAGAGGCAGTGGTTTTGCTAGAATGGCGATATTTGTCTACCAAGCCTTTCCACAACTATTTTATATTGTTAGAACAATGTCTATGTTTAAAAATATGCAATAATATTTATACATATGATAAAAACTTTCTTTATACTCTCAAAGGACTTTGAAAGGGCCTTCTGCGTTTTAGTCATGAGAACAACAAGCAAAGCCACAAGCAACAACTATACTGACAAACTAAAGTTGTGGTGGGCCATTTCTCCACCCCTTGACCAACTACTGAAGCTGTTTACTCAGAACAGAACTCACTGTGTGCTTTAACAGGATATGAAGTGAGCAAAGACGTCAGCAAGCTCCCTTCAAACACCAAGCGTCTACAACTTTATGCATCTCTCATAAAGTGTTACATGTATGCAATATTCATACAACTGTATTTAAATGCATACTTAATGTGATCTTTCAAATTAAAGTACTTATCCATCACTGTGCTAAGAGAGGCACATATGAACACACTTTACCAAGGTTTCAAACCTATAGTCAATAATTTGCCATTAAATAATTTCACTGCCACAAAGGACAGGGAGGGACAATTGATTAGCACCTCCCCTCTGCTGGAAGCAGCTATAAAAACATGTAAAAGTGTATAATTAAAAAAAATAGTCTAGTTTGTGTCCTTGTTGGTGTACCCTTCAAATACTCTTTTAAATGTGTTCTGATAATATTTTTACTTTTATATTGTGTCAATCTGCTAGACTTCTCATATGGATGAAAAAAAAACAAGAGCAGCTTCCTGAAACTGAAGTGTAGAGTGAAACAGGAAGAAAAGCCGCTTTGTATTTACACCTTTCTTTGAAACCCCAACCACAGAAATGCTTAAGTTTCCATGCACTGTTTGTTTGTCAGCGATGACTTTGACTTTAGGTTTAGTTGTCTTTGTGTGCAGACATTAAGAAAAGGCAGAATATGCAAAGTAAAACAACTTTTTAAGAAAAGCTTTTCATGTTCACCCTCTAAACGTCACATTTACTTCTTAAATGCTTGCTATATTGTTATGTGTAAATCATCATGCACATTATTAATGTAAAGAATTTTTTTTTTAATTATTATTATTGTAAGCAGTGAAGTGGCAGAACTGAAAGTGGTCTCAGACGGGAGGCTGTCATGTAACACACAGATCTCTAGCTTGACCAAAACTGAGATTGTGGTTTCGTGCTACTATAGATTTTTCTGCCAGGAACAGACACACGTGATTTAGTTGACTGTAGTCCGCTGCTTTTTAGGGCCAGATTTTAATGTAGGTGCTTTCATTTTCCTGACATACAATGTAACAGGCATTAGAGCAGGACTGTGACTGCAGAGGGTGTGAATGTCTTCCTAGTTACTGTTTTGGTTACACATACCAAATTGTAATACTATGGAAAAATATATAAAATGATCGAAAATTAATGAGAATAATCAATAATTAAAGGAGTATTTGAATTATAATTGTGCTGAAAATTTCATGTCATCTAGGTCTGATTCAATAATTCAGAGGTAACAAGTGAAAATATAATTAATAGGAATAAAAACTAAAAAAAACATATAAAACATTGCACGGCCACGCTGTGCTAATTATATATTTTAAAAAATAAATGTAGAGGTAGGAATTGCAATTAATATAAATCTCAAAGTATTCACAACATTCCTGAACAGAAATAGGCCTCTGCACCTGGGGTGAGGGTGTGGCCATGAAAACAATGTGACATGCCATTGGATGTTGGGACACATAATAACATGACGCTAAGCATCGGCCAATGAATGTGAACTAACAACCACAAGGTCGCGGGTATGGCAGCACTGTAGGAAAACATCCTAATATAAAAGTATTTTACTGCATTTCACAGTTTTGTTCTGTTCTTCTAGAATATCATTAAAGTTACGTAAATAGACTGATTTCACATTTCAAATGTAAATTAACGTTAAATCACTGTAATGTAATAAAACATATTTTCATGATTATTAAATGTATCTGTCTGTACATATGCATATTTAGATTGTTAAAATACATTCACAAATGTATCATGATTTCACAAATATCTGTCCGTTATTTGAAAGATTGAACTGTTGAATTCAAATGTAATGCTATGGAAAAGTATATAACATGATTCCTATAAGCTTGTGTTACATCACATAAGTATTATTATTATTGCTATTTAGGGCGATCGTGGCTCAAGAGTTGGCAGTTTGCCTTGTGATCAGAAGGTTGCCAGTTTGAGCCCCGGTATTGTGTCCGTGGTCAAGACTCTTCACCTACAAGTGATGGCCAGAGGGGCCGATGGTGCGATATGGCAGCCTCGCCTATGTCCCAGGGCATGCAATCCATTATTATTTAAACCAACTGTTAACTGTATATTTCTGTACATTTACGTATTATGATTCATATTGCCACATTCATTGACCTTGTCACTGACACAGAGGGTTAACGAGGGAAGTGGGAGCACACGGGGAACACAGCTGACACAGATAATCATAACGAGACACAGCAGTAGTAAACACAACACTGACGGGAGACTGTCAAAGTAAAACAGGATGTACAGAGGTGCAGAGAGGAGGAGAGAGAGAGAGCACAGGCATGGCGGGCTGGGGAAACATGGAATAAAACACAAGGAGGGGAGTCAAGGGCTCACAGATACACAGAGGGGCACACAGGGGGTAAAAGTCACAAGGGGAAATCAAATAAGGAACAACTTAACAGAGCAACCCAGGAACCATGGCCTAAATAAAGAACAAAATACAAAAATACACGAAAACTAAGAATGCTGGGCCAACATGGCCCAGGATCATGACACGTAGGAATCAAAACACTTGTGAAATTATCTAGCAACTAGTCAAAGTTTACCGTTAAACTGTTTACTGTAAAGTTTAGTTCTTCAATTTATACCAATGGATGTTAATGACATAACTGACATGAGATAAAATATCCACCCATCTATTCTCTTTCACTTATCAGGGTTGTATGGCACTTGAGCTTTTTTCAGCAACCATAGAGCCAGAGGCCATTTAGCCCCTGGACAGGTCACCAGTCTTTCACAGGGCTAACACAGAGAGTCAGATATCCATTTGCACTCACATTCACACCTATGGCTAATTTATAATCACCAATTAACCTAAACCCACTAACTGCATTTCTATGGACTATGGGAGGGAGAGAGAACCCACACGAACATGGGAAGAACATGCAAACGCCACAGAGAAAGACAACAGCCTGGAATGTGGAGTCAAACTCAGGCCTTCTTGCTGTGAGGCAACGGTTTTAACCCCCGTACTACTATGATAAAATGTGTGTTTCACAACTATTGAAAACGTTAAAACACTGAACAAACCTCCTGGTGTTCAGTGGCATAGCAGTAGTCCCTGCCATGTAGCATCCTGTCATTATGAGTTGTTTACAGTGGCTACAGTCATTATCTAGTGTTATGGAAAGACATTCTTGTTGTCTAACTTTGACGATGCCTTAACCAGACTGAAACACATGGTTTTTGCAGCCTTCAGTGATCAATAAGATTTTAACTTTTAAACAATTAAAATGAATTAAATATCACTTAAATAACCCCACATTTAACTAGAATTACAATTTCAAGTTGAGTTCTTTTAAATCATTAAGGGTTAATTGTTTGGAATGGCTCGATAACTGTCATATTGGCATTAATATAAAATGTGCTTCAGCTTTGTTGTGTTCTTTTTTCTAACTTTCATTTTGAGAAACCCACAAGAATCAAATATGAGACAACAGGGCTTACATTTGGTGTTGCTTTATGTGCTTTAGTTGGAACAATGGTTGATACTGTTTCCACTCCAGTAATGGAGTGATACACCAACATAACAAGTAGCCAATCAGACTGCTCTGAAATAGTTCCCTCCCACTACCAATACTTATATCTGGATGATTCTTTTATATTAAGTTATTTTTACAACAGTATCAGGAAGGTAATACAACAAACAAACAAAATCCAGAAATGGTTGTATTTTATTTGTTGCTGACGCTCAGTTTTGGATGTAAGTATTTGTAGAGACATCAGATTTACATATAAATATATTTAAATATAAATATATAAAAATATAATAATATATTTAAATTATTGCCATTTTTATATAGATAATGAAGAGAAGACAAGGTAAATGATTCTGTCTCTTGTTCATGTCTCACTTGAATAATATTTTTCAGGTTGCTCAGATGAACAGACTTTCGAGACGAAGACTGTTTACGTTGGGGAGAATATTAACCTGACGTGCCCCCGTAGAGATGTAGGAACCTTCTTTTGGCTCAAGTTTGTTTCTGGAGACTTTCCTAAAATCTTAGGAAGATCATTTAGCTCTCAGAGTGCTGATCAGCACATTAGAACTGTAACAGATCCTGGAATATTTGATCTGTATATTACAAAAGCACAGCAGAGTGATACAGGAGTTTACATCTGTATGAAAACAGTAAATCGAGAACTAACATTTTTGAATGGAACCTACTTAAAAGTTGAAGGTAAGAATAGAAAACACATTTTCCTCTGAAATTACATAGCTTGTTTCTATATTGATGAACAGAGGCATATATGGCATTTATTTAAGTCAAGTTTTCACAAGCTTTTCTTTCTTTTTGTCTTTCTTTCTTTCTTTTTCCCTTTTCTATTTAAATTAGTCTTTAAAATAACAAGTGAAATTTTCACATAATTTTGTTTCATTTTTGTAGGACCAGAGCCTCCTTTCACTACAACTCCTCCATCTGATCCTGTCCATCAGGAACACACAGTAACTCTCCAGTGTTCGGTCTTTCATGACTTCCTGAATAAAACATGTCCAGTACATGACAACGTGTTCTGTTTGAGTGCAGAACCACATCAATCTCACTTGGATTCTAATTGTGCTCATGTAAATGGTGCAGATGAATATGAAAGGAACTCAGAGGGACTCTCAACAAAAACATGTTTCTACAGCTACCTCAGAAACTCCAGCTCTTCTGATTCACAGATGTATTACTGTGCCGTGGCCACATGTGTGGAGTCTTTTTCTCGAAATAAAACAAAAGCCGATACTGATGGTAACTGAATCATGTTTTTATGCAATGGGGAAAATTGGAATATTTGTCCATTTGATTAGATTCTAGTTTTTTACCTAATATTCTGTAATGCTAAATCAGTCTATATAAAAAATATATCTGACAACACTTAATCATTGCTAACATAATTCATTTTCTTTTGTTTTATTTCAGCAGTCAACAAGACTAATTCAATGAAGGACAATGCACTTCTCTATCTGTTATGTGTTGCTTTGGCTGTAACCCTGATTGTTATAGCCTCTCTAATCTATTCAGTCAAGAACAATAGCTCATGTGTGGGTTGCAATGGTATGCAAAGTCAATCATACATTAATTTACCAAACAATATTCAACAAAATTGGACTCACATTAATGTTGTGGATTTATTTATCAGATGCAGTCGCTTTACGAACAAATGTGACAGAAAAAGGAGATCAGGAAATTCTGCAGGTAGTTATGAAAAAAAAAATCTCTTCAAGCTTTTTGTATGTTTTAATGTCTCCCTGTGTAAATAAGTATCCACATTTTTCTGTTTCCTCAGACAGATGAAGACTCATTGGTTTATTCTGTAGTAATTTTCACTTGTGGAAAAATGGGATACAGGAACAAGGACAACAGAACCTGCAGAGGACGAGAACATCTGTACTGATTTAAAGGCTCTTGAGGTGGATTAATAGCTAGAGACATTTGACTCTTGCAGTTTAAATTGTGTTAGAAATGTACTTTTTTGTACTCGCATTTTATTAATAATTATATAGACAAAAATAAATAATTACAATGGTAATTTTTAATTTGTTTTTCTAATAGATGTACATAGTATTAATCCTATCCATGAATGGTTTTTTATTGTGGAACTTTTCTTTTTTCTGATGTTGTGATATGTTCCTACATATTCTTGTATCTGTATATATTTCTATATGACCAAATCAATATGTTTATCTCAGTGTAATGTATTGAAAGGAACAGGTGGAAACAGTATATGTATTACTCCCTTCTTAATAGACATACCTAGAACAGTGTACTTCAAACGCCAAATTCTTTAATTTCATGTGATATAATTGTGTTGGTCACGTTTTGTTTAAAAGGAATAAAAAGTTGTCGATCTCGGCCTGCAGGTTTTGGTCTCTGTCATCAATTTCAGGTACATCAAAAATCACAATAAAGTAAGTTTGTCAGGTGATGGTGACACTTGTTCACGATAAGCTGTAGACCATGAAGTTCTCACTGTTTATCTGACTGCTTTAAGGAACATCAGTGCAGAATTAAAGTTTAGACAGCAGTGTTCATGCATTAGTAAGGGCAGCATGGTGGCGCACTATTCACTGTCATTTCACATGAAAAAGGTTCCTGGTTCAAACCCTTGCTGGGGCCTTTCTGTTTGTTCTCCCTGTGGTGTGAGTGGGTTTCTTTACTTTGCTAGTTTTGATTCATAATTCTTAAGGTTCTCAATTGAATAATCTGAAATGATGGATGAAAAAAATCAGTTTTCAAATAAGTGACACTCATCTTCACTGCCTACTTTGAATTTGTGGTAACAGAGGATTTCTATGAGATAGCTATTTGAGTTTTCTGTATCATTAATATTTGAATAACTATGTACTGTCCTGAGTACGAAAAAAAGCCTTATCTAGCTATCTATGTATATATATATATATATATATGTGTGTGTGTGTGTGTGTGCGCGTGTGTGTAATGTGTGTGTGTGTGTCTTATATCAATTTGCCAAACATAACTACTCCAAATGTCTTTTAATAAATTCCTTACTATATTTCTTTATGTCTGAACAGTAACAGGTCAAATATACACCTTCAGTGAAGCCCACAACCATAAATAGTTTCCATCTATAGGTTCTTAAATATGCAAAGCAGCTTTGATGACACCAGTCTGTAACTATTGTAAATAGTGGTGTGAAACAGTTCCAGTTGTGAAAACTGAGTCTGAATCTTGACAGTGCAGTGGAGGAATTCTGGCCCACTCATCTTTGCAGAATTGCTGTACATCAGCCACATTGGAAGCACCTTTTTAAGGCCATGAAACAAAATATCAATAGGACTCAGGTCAGGACTTTGACTAGGCCACTCCAAAAATCATCTTAAATTTTGCTTTGTCTCTTGCTTCCTTCCTCCATTCCACATGCCTGTCTCTTGCTCCAGGCAATTGAAGTCTTGTCTTTAGTTTATCTTATGATCTTATTCAATTCAATTCAATAAAACTTCATTGATCCCGAAGGTTGGCCCCATATTACCCATCTTACCCACCATACATACATTACACAAACATCACATGGGGAATACAGTTCAGAGAGGTATAACAATGGAAAATGCACAACATGAGGAAAGACAAGGAGAAAAAAAGAACTCCCCACAGACTGAGTTCCAAACACACCTTGCTGCTTTGAATGTGTTTTGAATCACTGTCATGCTGCAGAAACGAAGTGTAGTTCAGCTTGAGATCATGAACAGATTCTCGCTCAAGATGTTTTGGTAGACTTAAATCATGGGTGCCGGATTGGTCTGGACCCCACCAACTCGCCCGCTGCCGGGGAACGCTGGTGGGGGTGGTGGTAGTGGCAGGCAGGACCGGATCAGAGCTGCCAGAATCACAATCCTTTGCGTGCCGTGCTTTATCCAGTCCCAGAGTTCTTTCTGCTGGTGGCGTGACACCACCGCCTGCTCCCGCTATGTGGCCCCCAGCTCAGCCACCATTAGGGCGACCAGGCCAGCCACTGGCCTGGTCGCAGTTCCGCCATGCCGCTTACTTGGTTTCGACACCACTGTGGCAGGCAGTAGGCATGATCTGACCACAATTCTGCATTCTGAGACATCTTACTTTTGTTGAAATCTTCCAATTCTTTTAATCTTTGGGCTGAAGGAAGGACAATACTCGGTGTATCAATGCTCAATCAACAATCATTTATTTCCATACAATTCAACAGTCAGAGCATTACAACGTCCGGACGGGAGAGATGCTTGCAGAGGTTCGACAGCA